ATTGAATAAAAACTGGAAGTCTTGTCACAAGATTCTTGCTGAAAGAAGACACTGGATGTACCAAAATGCAACAACGGTCGAGTGTAATTTATTATATGCAATCACTTGAATATAGAACAAATTGCAGCATTCATCATAAACCGAATTGCTGGCAAACTAGTAAAGACATTTTCTAAGATGCCTTAACTTCGAATCCAAACAAACAAATGTTTAGTTTCTAGCAGCAGAAATAAACTACAGACGTTAGTAGTATTTTACATGGATCCAAGCATCAACTTTCGAAATTTGAAATGCTGCAAAAGTTGACACCCAGCATGTTATAGAAAGAAAATACAGCTCTAGTTTCCACTGATTCATGCAAGCACAGACAAAGCAATTCCCATGTAAGCATAAATCCGTACTAAATTTAATGGTCGTGTCATGTCACGAGCAGCATTCGTTCTAGACTCCGCTGGACGCAGGCGAGGAATTGCTGATTCCAGGATCTCGCAATCCCCCCACAACGGAATCTGCATCTCAAATTCGAGATGATGTCCGATCCGAACCCTTGTCAAAAGGGGGGAGCAAACAAAACCAGTCGGCACTGAGACACCAGGGGACGCGTGGATGCTAGTAGTGAGTGGATCGGGTTTATCAGCATAATATGGAAACCCGATCCGAAGAACTCGAGCTAACGAAAATACGAAATCCTGGAAGCGAGCAGCCACGGATAAACAAACTACCTTCCTTTCTAGAACGAATCCACCCAGAACGGAGCAAACCGGTTTCCTAATCTACCGCGCCACTGGGGAAACCGGGGGGCGCACTTGCCTGCCGGTCCGCGCGGACGCCGCCCGTGCCCTGCGGTCCGCGCCTCCGCGCCACAGCACAGGATCAGATCGGGCCCACCCACCCAGACCCAGCCGGGCGCGACACGCCGTCAACTCCGCCGCGCGGGGAGTGGGGAGGTGGCGAGCAGCAACCGCAACCGCCGCGCGCCGCGCAAGGAAACGAGGAGACGGAAGAGGGGAGGGAGGGAGGGAGCATGTACAGTACCGTGGAGAAGGCAGCCACGGCCGGGGAAGGAGGAGGAGCGCGATCCGGCCCAGCCGAGCAGGAGCAGTCGTCCCAGGGAGCGCGCACCCGAGGCGGAGCAGGGAGCCTCTCCTAGGAGGCAGGCGGTCGGGGAGCCCAGCCCAAGCGCCGGTGCGCGTGCACGTGCGAGGGAGGAGGAATCGCCCGCCCGGTCGCTCGCTTGCTTCGTAGTAGGACAGGAATAGGAGTATGATTTTTGAATTTCTCCGGCGGAGATGGAGACGGAGACGGAGACGGAGGAGAGCGGAGAGCAGCGAGAGAAGGGGAGGGGGAGTGAAAAATGATAAATGAAGGGAGCGGCTGTGTGTGTGTGTTGGCGTGGAGCGAGCAACGGCTAGTTTTGGAAGGCGTTAACCAAAGCCCCCACTAGCTACGCCCACTAGCCATTTGTTTTTTTTCCTCCCACTTATTTATGTCTCTCGTCTAACACTAGAGATTCACTCAAACCACACTGGCAACCCAGCACAGCTGCACAGGGAAGAATGGTCCTTCCGCGACTGTGTGGCTGCAGGTGGGGCCATCAAGCAGCTGAGCTTGGCTAGTGAAACAAGAGGAGGGGTGGTGGTAGTAGTCATTAAATGCAAATTTCCACCGCTAATCTTTGGTAAATAAATGGTGGCATGGATATGATTTTATGTATTATATTAAACTAATATATTTGAATTGTGGTGGTTCTAATTGTTTTGCAGACTATGCTCGAGATATACACGAAAATATATTAACGGAGCATATGAGATTATGGTGCAAAGATGCACTCGACATGGAATCCAATCATCATTAGTAAAAACAATCCCAAAATACTTCCTCCATCCAAACTAGAAGATGTTTTGTATTTTCTAGATACATAGATTTTGCTATAAACTTAGATGTAGACTTGTCTAGATATATATTTAAAGCGATATATATATCTAGAAAGCCAAAACGTCTTATAATTTGGAAAGGACGTAGTACCAAATTTGACTCTAAGAGATTTGGACTTTGGGCTCAAATAATTTGAAGTCCAGACGTAAAAGTTACTTCTCCCAAAAAATTTGCGACACGGACCGGATACACGAGCTAAGGCTCGCAGGCCCAAACCCAAGTTGATTGACCCTCAACTCTGAGCCAATTAAGGGCTCCTTATTGATCATAGGGCCCAAGGAAACTTGGGGCATAGCGGAGGCCTTAGGATGCTCTTGGCCCAAAACTGATGAGCTTCATGGAAACACAGAGAAAAAGATCGTGACATGTTGGATTGATGATGGTTTAATCTAATGACTCGGATTATCTTTAGTTGGATTCAAGAGCTTACCATTCTAGGATAACAAAAAAATTAATTGCTAACAAGGCGAGCATGTAGAATCCAAGCGTTTATGTGTCGATGTGTCATCCTCACAATCTTCTTCTTGTTACTATTATATAGCATCACATGATTTCTCTTGATAGACATAATTTGAATCTAGGGCTTCCATATTCGGGCACTTCCAATGACCACCTCTAAACTGGTATTAGATACCACGTGGAGAGAGGTCAAATTTTTTTGAACTAGTGGAAAGAGAAGAGTGTGTGTCCCAATATACAAGGGGTAGGCCTGCTAATGGGTTGGGTTCTCAAGTAGCTATAAGTTGATTTACTTTGTGGGTTTGGGTTGAAATAGGTTTATTGGGTGGGGTAGGGAAGAGAGTTAATTTTTTATGGGTTAAATTAGGTATGCGGTGGATTTTAACCCATTAGCTGACCTAACGAAAGGCACAACTCATCTATATCTCTCATGAAGGAGAGATTGTCAGGAGAGAGAATATAAAGAACAACTTATATGTAGGACATACAAGATAAGATGATATCTGAATGTCAGTAGGTGATTTTTACTATTGGAGATGCCCTTAGCACTATAATCATCACTCAATTAGTCAATTTGGAGCCATGGTCATTTGAGCCTTAGTGTTGCAATGCCATCGATATCAGTGGTCATATATACTTGTCATTGAGATTGTCTTTTTCATTGATATTGCATCCGTCTCGGTGATAATGGCTCACCGCTTTTCTATTTTTTTCCTGATCCTCTTTGGTTATCTTCCATCAAATATGTGATGTGTTATATTCTCCTGATCAACATCGCATTACGCTTTGTTACATCTTTAGCAACTAACGCCATTGTTCTCCAACGTAATAATGCAAGCATGCAACCCATTACATTGCGCTGCTACGGAGTTCAAAAATAATGTTGGTCAATCCAGGTATCTACGTCATTTGGAGAGAGAGAGAGAGAGATATGTTACATTGCCTATTTTCATTTATTTTTTCAATCCAGCTATCTTTGAAATGCATGTGTGCAATGAACTTATATACTCTTGACTAAATATGTTGTCTTCTTTTGATGATATTGGGCTTCATTTTTCTAATAAATGGTAGATGCAAGAAGTAGAAAACCATGATTGGCAATGTATGTAATTTATAAATAAGTACAGGGCATTTTTGGTTATTTTTACCATGATGGCAGTGGCAATTTATAAATAAGGTATAGAGATATCTTGTATTAATTTTTTTTTGTAATGCCAGTGATGCGTAATTTTGGTTTTTTTCCTTTATTAACATGGTAATTTTTAGGCCTTATTAAGAGCAAGTAGAACTTTTTTTTTTCTTTAGCCACATACAAAAATAACATATGCTCAAACCAAGACCCAGTCGAACTTTTAAAGCTTTGACCATCAATTGCTTTCATAATATATGCTCAATCCAAGGAGAGGTTTACTTTCATGATTCGTACAATTCATTGCACACTCCAAGTTTGTAACTAGGGGTGGATATTGAGCCAAGGACACTTTTTTTCAAGCTTTTTTTAACCATATTTTCTAATAAAAGCAGCGGTAAATTTTGCTTCTAAACACCATTAGAAAAAGGTCTGTTTTTAGGAAAGTTTGTAACCATAATGTTGCTTCTAAATAACCATAAGATCATTTTAGAAGAAAAACAGTAGAAAGTTTCCCTTCGCTAAAGAATAGTTATGAATGCAGGGATGCCCTCTGTCAATCAAATTGTTTTCCCATCTCCTGTATCCACCAAGAGTCAGTCAACTCCATAACGGCATTAGTTCTATTTGATTAAAAAAGAAACTCTAAATTCACTTGATTTCACTCACTTGAAGGTTGTGGTTGGAAGCAATCTGAAATCCACTTCGGCAAAGCATTTCATGCACTGACCTTTGATTGACATTTGTGATTTGAAACTAGAGCAAATGAAGGGGTTTGTATTGCCCATGAGATGCAGTCACAGGTCTATTGCATTTGCATAACACTACAACAGCATTGCTCCCTTACCATCACAACTTCCTTGTTAACTCCGGGCCAACCTATCAAGAAAACTAGCCCCTGCAGCCCTCTAGTAATACACCTGAAGAAAATCTGGATACAAAAGAAACAAATATGCTTGTTTAAAAAAAATACATTAGTAGTACTAATATCGCGGAACAAGTTCATAAGAATCATTCATATACCAGAGTAGTGTTTAGTCAGCCATCAATTCAATACCGAAAAATCATTCATGTGATACATCATGGGTATAAGAAGATAACACTCAAATACCTACAAGTTTCATCATGCTACCTAAGAAACTACATGAAGAAGAAGGATCATAAACATGAGCAATGCCCAGCTAGAGTTGGCAAATCAGACGCAGCCTCACACGATTTAAAAAAGGGCAGACCCAGTGCCGGAGGCTCCCACATGAGTGGGGTCTGGGGAAGGTAAAAACCGAGGCAAGCCTTCCCCACACAAAATCTGCGGAGAGGCTGCTTCGAACCCGCGACCTGATGACTCAGTGACACAGCTCTCACCACTGCACCAGCCTCACACCATTTGACATGGCAAAACAAACCAACAGCCTCCCTCTGCTATTTATGTGCTATATGCACAGCCGATCCTATCAACTAAAACACCTGCAATAACCTTTTACACCACAACCAGATCATTCCCATGGTTCGATGCTTGGATGCGCAGCAACTCAGGAGGCAATGATGCAGGATCCAGTTCCCAGCAATCCCCAGGAGGCAGAGCCGATCCCTCGCCCTTGGGCAACTTCCAGGCCGGTATCTGATGCGAAAGCGCCCCACGATCACCCTTGTGAAGGACGTGGACAGCATGGCTTCCGACATCCCGGCGTGTGAAGATACTCGTGAAGCCTTCCACCTTCTCCAGGTACCCGAAGCTGGCACCATACCGATCATTGTAGCTGCTGAGCATCACCACAATGTCATACTTTGTCCTCCCGGCATCGCCACCATGGAGCGCCCAAACCGAGCCCTTCCAGGGATAAACCCGGTACACCGCCCTCGCCACCTTCTCACATACCAGAAGGTGGGAGAAGACGTTCACTGAATCCACGGTCTCTGCTCTCCCAACCTTGAACTGACCGCATGGCTTCCCCTCCTCGCCATCCAGCCACCGTGTATCTGCACGCGGAATTGGGCGCCTCGCTGGACCCCATCCACCAGCGCATAGTGCCGTGGCATGCCGTCGGCGTCGGCGTACAAAGCCCAGAGCTGGCCTCTCTGGAAGCACCTCTCGCCGCGGTCGGCGTCGAAGTTGTAGAAGTCAGAGTCCTCCACGGCCATCAGGTCCGAATGGTTGTTCTCCGCCTCAGCCTCCTCGGCGGCGTCCTCCTCCTCCTCATCTAACACCACCAAGTCTCGGGAAGAGCTCTCCGGAGCCTTTGCGCCCCTCCTCTTCTTGGCGAACTGGAGCTGCATCTCGGCGAGCGTCATCTCCAGCTTGTCCGACTTCTTCGCCGCCGCCGGCTTCCGCCGAGGCGAAGGCAAACGGGCAGGGCGTTCGGCCTCCGGCGGAGGTGGGACCTTGACGGCGAGGAAGGTCCGGCGGCAGGAGGGGCAGATGAGGCGGTATCCCACATACTTGCGCTCGAACTCGTGGAGGAGGCGGCATCCAGCGCAGGCGGTCCAGAAGGTCCCGGGGGGCGGGGCGGTGAGCGCCTCGTAGGCCTCGGTGGCGCGGCAGAGCGCCTCCTCGGCGGCGTCGGCGGAGGAGGGGTAGGCGGCGGCGTAGTCGGGGCCGACGCGGAGGGACTTGACGAGCGACTTGAAGTGGCGGCGGAGCTCGGAGGCGGAGAGCGGCGAGGCGTCGGGGTCGTCGGGCTCGGGCAGCAGGAGCGCGGCGTGGTGGGAGGAGGCGTTGGCGAGGAGCACGTTGGCGGCGGTGACCACCACCGAGGCGCGCGGGCAGGATGGGTACAGGCGGGCGGCGCGGAGGGCGTGCCTGCGCGCTGCCCGGAGCCGGCCCGCAGAGAGCTCCGACTCGGCCAGCGCCAGGAGGTGCTCGGCCTCGGCCGCGGATTCGGGCCCCGATGCCGCGTCGGCGCTCGGCGCGGGAGGTTCGCCGGCTGCCATCGGTGGGGAGGGTCGCCGGCGGTGGGTTTTGGTGGGTGGGCTGTTCAGTGAGAGGAATGGGCTTTTCGGTGCTTGGGGTTTGGGCCTTCATCAAAACAGTGAGTTTCTTGCCTGCTGCCTGTTAACATGGGCCTAGGAGCTTTTAAAGCAAAGAAATATGTTTGGAAAAAAATTAATTCATGGTCGGCTAATTTTGCTCCCTGATGTACGGAACCAGTGTTTTTGCAGCCTGAATGATTTTGATGGTGACTCTGGTGATGTGACGCTATCGTACTAAGTTGAAAATTTAAGGAGGTAAATCGGACAGGAAATATTTTACAAAAAAAGTATCCACAAATTCATTAAAATAAAATTTAAAATTTTATCCAAATATATTTTTACTTGAAAAAAGTAACGCAATTAAAAATCCTAAAATCTAGTCTATAATCTTAAGAATTCATAGAGATTTTGTTTTTGCTCGAAAAATTACGAAACTCATTTTGGGTAGTTTAAATGGGTAGTCCAAGTTTGAACAAAATAAGTGATGATGTCAGCCTGACATTGCAAGGTTGGCAAGCCGCGTTGTCCATATTTTGTGAGAGAAAAAAAAGAACAAACTCATTTGGTAACATCAAAGTGGTATGCATATGATAAGGCATATGTAGGGTATAGAACTGTAAGGTCGGGTGTTTGGATAATCCAATCGACGTTCTAATTAGTTGGTCACATGGGCTGGTTTTGCCCACAGCTCACTCATGGATTGTCATTGTAGCTTGTAGAGCTGTGTAGAACAACTCTCAAGGATGATAGCCAATGCAAGCAAGGATCACTGCCCGGTGCAAGCGAAGCAGCAGCAGGTCCTCGTCGTCGAATGGCCGGCCGCGCGTGCCTGTGCTGTGCTTCGGCCTCGGCGCACCTCCGCCCCTCGTGACCCTCGTGCACCTCCGCCCCCGCTCCGTCGATGCGTCCAGTCATCTCATCCACAGCCACGCCCTGTCCGCGCCGGCGCTCTGTGCCTGTGCTGTGCTTCGGCCTCGGCGCACCTGCTCGCCAACCACACGCTTGCCCCGTTAGAAAGTCGCGTCACCCAGCGGCCCCGCGCCCTCGCTTGTCGCTTCTACCACAGCGGCAGCCGCGAATTCTCCCGCTGCCTGTGATCCGTTACGAGCCTGAGAAGAAGGATGTGGGAAGAAAAAAGGAAGAATACCAGGTTCCAGGTGGGGAAGCACAAGTAGAGTGTAGAGACAAACAAGTTAAAAAGGGCTAATAATAATAATCCAGGGTTCCTGATGTATAACTATCTGTATGCTTTTCTTCTTTTCCTAAAAATGACCAAATCGGCTGCAACTTGCAAACAGCATAATCAGTCACAGGAAAGAAAAAAAATCCAAAAATGACAGAAACAAGTTTTGTTAGGCTTGTCTTACTCGTATCGACAACATACAAGTGATAAGTCTCCTGTTACTTACTTTATGTTTTCTGTATAGTTAGATTACTAGAATTCTTAGTTTATTTTTGTATTGTAGTAGGGATTTCTTGTCTACAACAACAACTGAAAAAAAATCTACAGTAAGTTAAACCTGTAAGTAAGGCCTCACATTAAAAGTTTCACCCTAAAAAGAGCTGTAGGTTTGGAGTTATAGATGATACATTAGATTTCTGTTGTTATTTTTGTAGAGGACACATAGTGTATCCAAAATTAATGAAATTAATACAGTAAGCTAATAACACCTCTGTAAAAGTTTGACACCATTTGGAGCTTGTATGCTTTATGTTATGCTTTCTGTTATTATATTTGTTGTGGTAGTATAACTTATCTAAAAAATCATGAATTTTGTATAGTACACTTGTCTCTGTATAAGGTAGCTCCAGTGAAAATTTCATGTCCAGAAAAGCATAGTATGCGGCAGTTATGATTTTATCTCCATTGTTACTTATTTCACATGATAGGAATATTTTAGTGTCTAGTAATTTAGTACTGCTAAGTTTTGTTACAACGTTTAGCTATTCTACCGTCCAGCAATGACAATAATGTTATATAGTTGCACATGCTATGTTTGCAAAGAAATATATTATGAACCTTTATTATACAGTGGCGGTACACAGTAAAGAAGGCTGATAAAACTTTGCACTAAACAACAAAAGCAGCGGGTACTGTTTCAGTTTCAGTTGCCATTTTTCTTACAGAACCCCTCTTTGAACAAGGAAAAATATATAAAACCCTAATGCAAAGAAAAACTTGTACTCCTAGAGAATAGTACATTTGTGGTGCAGGAAGCTGGATCGACTCGAACATTTCTTGGAGGACATTGTCCCTATCATAAACTCTTCTTAGGAAATAGTATAAATCTATGTGGAGCAATTTTTACAGTCTCTGCAAATCACTGGACATGGGTGGTCTTCCTATCAGTACCTTCCCTTAAGCCACCACCCATTCTCTGAAGGAACAGAGAGCAGCATGACTCACCAGCCTTGCAGGACAGTGGCAAAGGTTCTAGTCCACATGGGGTGAATGCAAATGCTGTAATGACAATGTGAGGTTGAAAGGTATCCACTCACTTGATCAATTAAATTTGCATCGCGATAGCAGGCTGAGGAAAGCTTCCCGTGCAGGCAAAGTTCCGCTAGGCGCTCGCCTAGGCGCGCCTAGGCGCGATTAAGCGCTAATCGACGGCCCTCCGCGTAGACTATGGTGTAGTCGCAGTCCTAGGCGGGAGCAGCGACTAGGCGGCGCAAATCGGCGCCTCGGCGGCGATTCCGCGGCGCGCAGGCGCGCAAGGCGACGCGTAGGCGGACGACCCGCTCAACGGCGAAATTTTTGTCCGCCGCGGAAGCGCGCGCGCGCTTATGGCGTCTGGCGCGGGAAAGGATGCGCGCGGGAAGGAGAAGAGGGAAAAGGTCCGCTCCCGCTCGATTCTTGCCTTCCAGGTCGCAGATAGCCGCTCGGCCACTCCCGCTCGTCCTCTCCTCCTGCTACGGCGCGCCGGAGGGAAGCTCCACCCGCCGGCCCCGCCGGTCGCCCTGCTCCCCGCGACCCCGCCTGGAGGCTTGTCCCGGCCGGCCTCCTCTGCCCCGCCTGGAAGCTGCTGCCCCGCCTCCTCTGCCCCGCCTGGAGGCTTGTCCCGGCCGGCCTCCTCTGCCCCGCCTGGAAGCTGCTGCCCCGCCTCCTCTTCCCCGCCTGGAACCTGCAGCACCAAGGTCAGGCCCCTCCCCTGCTCCTCTCCTCCATGTCCTCTGTTTTGAATGCATCCCCTGCTTCTCTCCTCTGATTTGAATGCCTGTGATTAGAACAGCCATCCAGCACTGGCAAATTGTGATCATGCCTATATCTAGGTACATGAAGCAAAGTTTTTATGTACAGATCACAGGTTCCTAATGACATTACTAGACATTTGTTGATTTTTTTCTCCATAGCAAGTGATGCACTGAATAAGTGATGAACCATTCCTAGACATGAAGAATGCAGAGTCTAGAACTCAAAATTATCACAACAAAATGTAGCAAGCAGTTAGTAACTAGCTAGGGAAGAGATGTTCTAATCTCATTGTAAATTGGATGTTCCAAGCTCCACTGCTTGATCACCAATGAGTTGATCTGATTTTGCCTGCTGTGAATGCCCATTGTCTAAATGTAGGATGTCTACAACAGAGGGTGCACTAGGTGAGGGAGAAAATAGTGAGTCAGCGAATCTCCTGAAAAGGAATTCGGATGATGTTGGATGGGAGTATGGTGTTCTTGTTGATCCTAACAACAAGGACAAGGTGAAGTGCAAGCTTTGTAAGGAGATGAGGGGAGGGATTTATAGGTTGAAGCAGCATTTGGCTCATGAGGGAAAGAATGTGAAGAAATGCACGACTACAACAGTGCAAGCCATGGAGGCTAAACAGAAGTGCAAGAAAGCACTAGATGAGGCAAAAAGGAAGAGGGAGGAGAAGACTATTCGTGAGCTAGAACTTAGAGAGGAAGTTAATGTATCTAGGGTTGGAGAGTCAGATGAAGTCACTTGTGTTGGAAGTTCAGAGCCTCACAAATTAGGACCCATGGACAAATGGACACGTGCTATTGATCCTAAAGCTACCAAGACTGATTCTTTGAAGCAACAGCAGCTGAACAAGAAACTTTGGAAAGAAAGAACACATGAGGTGCATAAGTATATTGCAAGATGGGCCTATACACATGGTAAATTGCTAGTATACTCTTCTGTACTTACATTACATGATCACTAATTCATTAGATGTTATTCCTGATCACTAATTAGGCTTTTTTTAACATTGGCAGCAATACCTTTCAATGCATGTGACAATGATGAGTTTAAGCAAATGTGTGAAGCAATTGGTCAGTTTGGTCCAGGACTTGTACCTCCATGTCAAGATTCACTTCGAGAGAGATTGTTGGAAGAAGAATATGAAAGAACCAAGAGTCTGCTGCAGGAACGTGAAGCCGAGAAGATAAAAAATGGGTGCTCTATTATGACCGATGCTTGGTCAGATAGGAAGAGGAGAAGCATAATGAATCTGTGCACCAATTGTGCTGATGGAACCTCCTTCATCAGCTCTAAGGAGATGTCACATGTCTCACATACCAGTGAGGTCATCTTTGATCTTGTGGACAAAGCAATTGAAGAGATTGGTCCGCATAATGTGGTGCAAGTAGTGGCCCGACAATGCCTCTAACAACATGGGAGCAAAGAGGCTATTGGAAGAGAAGAGACCACACATATTTTGGACCTCTTGTGCAGCTCACACAATCAACCTTATGCTCCAAGGAATTGGCAACTTGACTCGGTTCAAGAAAGTGGTTGACCAAGCAAAGGCATTTACCATATTTGTCTATGGCCACACAAGGACATTGGAGTGCTTGAGATACTTCACAGAGGGGAAAGAGGTAGTGAGGCCAGGAGTGACTAGGTTTGCTTCAAACTTTCTCACTTTGAGTAGCATGCAAGAGAAGAAAGACCAGTTAAGGAAGATGGTGGTTCATAGTAGGTGGGACTCATTGAAGGATGTGAAATCAAAGAAAGGAAAAGAGGCAACAGCAACTATATTGAGTCCAAGCTTTTGGAAGGATGTGAAGATAACATTGACTGTTTTTGAGCCATTGGTCAAAGTCCTCCGTTTGGTTGATGGGGATGTGAGGCCATCCATAGGTTTCCTTTATGGACAACTACTAAAGGCAAAGAGACAGATCAAAGAGGCCTTTGAAAATGTTGAGGCTCGGTTCAAGGATGTAATAGCTGTTATTGACAAGAAGATGAATGAAAGACTTGATTCTCCATTGCATTTGACAGCCTATTTGCTGAATCCTCACTATAGCTATAGTGACCCATCAATCTTTGATCAGCCCAAAATATCAGAAGGGTTTATATCTTATGTTGAGAAATTTTTTTTATCATGATGAGGACATGCAGCACATGGCTGCCAATATTGAACTAAAGAAGTTTCAGAATAGAGGACCCTTTAGCAAGAAGCTTGCTAGGAATTTTGAAAACTTTGATTACAACTCAGGTAGAGGTACTTCCTATGACTCATGGCTGTTTGTTGTTTGCTGTTTTCTAAACTAATAGAGGTGTTTTTTTATTTCAACATCATGATGGAGACTATATGGATATGAAACACCAGCTTTACAGAAGATGGCTACAAGGATCCTATCTTTGACATCAAGCTCTTCTGGTTGTGAAAGAAATTGGAGTGGATTTAAAGGGGTTAGTACTTAACTACCTATCTATTATGAACATGTTTCAGGCTTTCAGCAGCATTACAATTTAATTGTAGAACTGAGAATGCTCTTTTTAAATTGTAGATACACACTAAGAAGAGGAATAGGCTTACTACAACCCGCCTCAACAAGCTGGTGTATATCCAATTCAACTCCAAGCTGCTTAGTAAGAGAGAAAAGATCAAGTCAAACAAAATCACTGAGATACTTCAGTCTAGTGATACAACTGAAGCTCAAGGTTTTCTCCAAGAGGGTGGGGATGATTGTGCATTAGCTGACTTTAGAGATGAGGAGGAAGATGAGATGGAAGGTACCGGGATACTTTGGTCTGTTATTGGAGAGGCAGTGGGAGCAGATGAACAGCTTGAGCTGCGTAGAAGTGCAAGAGTGAGGAAGCTCTATGAAGGAGAAGAATTTGAGTCTGAAGAAGAGTATGACGATGAGGATGTGAACTACAGTGACGAAGAAATATGAACTGCAGCTTGTATTGTACTGTCCTTTAGTTATAAATTGTGTTGTGCAGCTTGTATTGAACTACAGTGAGTGAGGGAACTATGTGCTTGTGCTGTCCTTTATTTATAAATTGTGTTGTGCACTTGTATTACTGTCATATCCACTTGTATTGTAATTACCAGCTGCTGATATGGTGTGCTCATGGATGGGAGGCTGCTGAAATCATCCAGATAAGTCACAACTTAGTGTTTTCTATTTTTTTTGGATGACCAGCTAGCTGTCTATTGACTAATTTACTAACTACTAGCTGTCAAAATGTGTTGCAGGAGGCAGGAGCTAGGAACATGCAAGAAAGCAAGAGTAAGCCAGCTAGGAATCAGATATGTCTACTGCCCTCTTTTTCTACTTACTCATTACTGTGACTCATATAGTCATATATAGTAGTTATATACATATATATATATATATATATATATATATATATATATATATATATATATATATATATATATATAGTTATATACATAATATATATATAATTTATGGCTATATTGCCAAAACGCCTAGGAAAACGTCTAGGAACGTCTAGAACCGAGTACTCCCGACTAGACGCTAGGCAATGGATCAGCGCCTAGATTCCGCCTAGCGCCTAGCTGAACTTTGCGTGCAGGCATGGAAAGCAATCATTGGAGATCCATATGCATCAGAGCTTCTGCCGAACTCATCCATGTCCTGTGTTGTGCCGCCGTGCCGTGCACCTTGCCAATATGGAAGGCCCTTGTCACGGAAGACATGATCTCGGGCAGCAGGGCAAAGCCAGGCATGGGCAAGTTATATCACCTCCAATAGAATCACTTGAAACTATGTGGTGATGGTGAGACAATGTAACCGATCATCTCTGCATCCAACAAATATGCGTCCACCGACCATCAAGGGAGAAGAAAATATGTCCCCTGGAAGATCAATGGACGCCACTCCTTGGACCAACTCCTCAGATTTAACACCTTCACCAGCTTGCTCCTGATTGTACCTAGCATCAGCTCTAATCCCGATGACATGGACCTTCCCGGAACTCGTGCAGATACAAGCAAATCTGAAGAGAAAAGGCAGCCATGTCATTTCCTTTACATCTAATAGCTAATGACTATGCTACGAGTAAGTTCAGTACCTCTCAGATGGTCCAGATGACTCTGATGTTAACAGCTCATCAACAAAAGCGGATGCAGTAATTGGATCCCCAGCCTTGTATACCCAAAGAAGGGCGCCAGAAACCTGCAGTAATTATATTAAGAGTTTATGCTACTAAGTTGTAAATGAAAAAATCACTTCACATAATCGATTTCTACCAAAATGCAAGAAAGGGAACCATTTTTGCATCACTCTCATCAACTACTTGAATATCATTGTGAAAAACTGTCATTCTTATAGGACCTAACCAAACTTAATTTAAATTGCTAGGTAATACTCACTGTGAAGATAACCTTTTTTTTAACAGTTATTTAACAAGTACCATAGGCACAGCTTAATTGGCTAAGACTTACGACTGTTTTTGAAAACTATTACCGGCAAGGGCCAAGTTAACATCTGATAAGTAGTGCTACATATCTTTTAACAAAAACAATTACTACAAATTAAAATTTGGAGGCACCTTGTTAAAAAACATAGACTGGCAACACAAAGCAAACTCTTAAGCATGCATGATTGATTAGTCACTAAATTAAATGGTACAATGAAATCAAACTTACAGTATCGAAAGAGTATAAATTGCCATCACGGGAAGGTATAAGCACCTGCCAGTGACATAATGCGTAAGATTTTCTTAGTTTCCTCCAAACTGGGAGCACATTAAGTTATCGATGTACTCAAGCACAAGCGTACCTGATGAGGGAGGGTGGGTGACAAACATGCACCAGCAAAAATAGGACCACCAACAGTTGCCTGGATTTTTAATAGCAAGTTATGCATTTGGACACTAATAAATATGTTGAGACTGCACTACACAAGAAAAACTGGATCAAATGTATAACATCAGAGTGAAAAATGTGCATTTTTGCTCTCTTATTGAAACAATGTCATATAGGGCCAAACTAGTGCAGATTCTAAGCATCAATAGCTCTTTCTTTCTTACTCAACTATGCATATGCATTTCCTTTGCTACAAAAACAAGGTACAGAAGAAAAATTACCTTCCAAACAACAGAGCCTTGTGAGTTCAATGCCATAACTAGGCCATTCACTAAGCAACAAATAACTGCATGTAGCAAGTGAGATAATCAGCACAGCACATATAAAAGGAAAAGGTATGTAGCAAACCCTACATTGGCCCAGGTTGGCATGAGCCAAGAGGTATAAAATAAGATGGCATCTATATTCAAATTTTGTTATTATGCCATGCTTTTATATAGAGATTGATCAAATACGATGTGATTGAGGGTAACTGTACCTACAATCATTGACCCTGCCACCTTAAACACGATGGCATATAACCAGCAAATGATGATTGGTTAGCACGGAGTTACACTATGGTATTCAATGTAACATGCATATTGAACCAAAGTATGACTTACTTTTGAAATATAACAGTATATGTATGTATATCCATATTCCAGATTATCCACATCAAATGGCTGGAGAAATACCTTTTCCACTTTGATAATCTATGGCGAGAGAACCAAAAATTGGTGCACCAGCTTCGTATTGCCAAAGAACTCTGAAGGATGGTTCCTGCTCCACCAAAAGAAACCAGTGAGACTCTAAACATTCAAATTCAATATTGAAAAGTTATTAGTGCATTCATTTATCAAGTTTTGCTCAAAAGTAAGGACATCCATGGAACCACAATTGAGAAATTAAAAAAAAGTGTGCTTTAGACATTTAAATTTCCCAAAGTAGATCTTAAAATCACCTTAAATAATACTGCAGTCACAAGGCCACTTGTAGATGCGACATAGATTATGTTTTGTGCCTGCAAGGAGGTAATATAGATGACACAAAATTAATAGAGCCCATCTGTATATATAAAGGGGGCGTACCCAGTGCAGAGTGCTCCCGCTCTGTGCGGGGTCTGGGGAAGGGTGTCAGTGGCAAGCCTTACCCTCGCCTGTGCAATGCGAGGAGACCGCGACTCGAACCCGGGACCTTCCGGTCACAGGCGGTAAGACTCTACCGCTTGCACCATCTGTATATATATCTAATAAAATGATTTTTGTGAACCAGTGATGATACCATGTCAATAGCAGGAGAACCATAAATGCTTCCACCACAAGAAATTTTGTAGGTGCAGCAGTGATCTTTGTAATTTAATGCATACAAGTAATGGTCATAAGAGCCACACCTGCAAAATGTACACAGCACTGTTATTAATATAAAGATTTCTGATGCAGAAAATTAGAGTCATCTTTTGTGCACATGTTATGTTACATCTCTGATAGAAGAGGTCAAATTGGATAGAACATTGGTATCCACTGAAAACTAAAATTTTATATCGTGCGAACAAATATGTTTTCACAAAAAAGGATATATATACATACATACTATAGAAGACATGATGAATAACGCTCTTGTATAGCGGATGAAAGTAAAGAGGAAAAATATTACGGAGGTACCATATTAAGTTCCTCATCTTGTCCACAACTGGTTGCATTTTTACCTGAAAGGAGATACCCTAATTGAGACATGAGATGGTAACAGTATGGTTCGTTGTAAACATGAACATCTTTAAGGTGTTCTTCCTAAGTAAGTAGTAATCTTAACATACCATTATACATATCTTATGTAATCAAAATAATCATACATAACCTTTGTAGCAGGTCAAATGTGTGATCAGCACACACTCGAATCAGTCAGAGAACTATAACCATTTCAACAATCCAACGTGAACATAAATGAGAGAAATTCTCTGAAAACAGACAGGTTTCCAAGGTAAAGTACCTCCCCGTCAGTTTGAAAGGTCCAGGATAGTTTCCCTGTAGCTATATCAAGGAAGTAAATTTTCCCTTTATAGCATCCAACAACAACCTGTATGGAATATATGTGTGAACTGGCTGCCAGAGTGTTTTAAAAATTAGTTATAATCTTTTCTTTGGGTGAAGTTCAAGAGTTGCTGTTACCTCCGAGAAATCACCAGTTATAGTGGCAGAACACTCAATACGACCTTCCAATTTGACACTCCACCTCACTGAACCACTGCAAATCCAATAGGAAACCAGTTCTAAGATATTCACACACCAGATGGTACTAATTTTCTCATCAAATATAATTTAAACAAATTACTGATAGAATAAGCTTAAATAAAAAAATATATAGCATGAGGTACATTTGACTGTCCTAGTTTCAAAATTCATAGTAAATCAGAAAATCAAAAGAAGCATAGAATTCCATGTAACAGGCAATACTCACCTATAACCATCAATGCAAAGAAACAAATATGAATGAGAACCAATAAAGATGGTCATCATCCCATTGCTTATGACAAGCAAAGGTGAGGCATCAACACATGAATCCAGAAGAATGCTCCAAAGTTTCATGAGGCAACCCTTTTTGTTGTATGGAACATATGAGCAAATATCTTCAAGTTGAAGCATCCCTTCATAACCATGCATAAATCTATTGCAATGGCCAATAGACCACACCTTTTGTAGGTGAAAATTTAGTATCCATGGACTGCCACTGGAAATTTCATCATTTGAGCATGTATCTGGGCACAGGTTTTTTGCTTGGTACGTACCGTAAGTCATACTTTTGCTAAGCTGGCCATCTGTTTCATTTATATGATTCCCTGCAAAGTGATCGTATGCACCCTCTTTACTTATCTGCCCTTGGCCATGAAAGTTATTGTCCAAATACTCAGAAACTGGATCAAAGGAATTTGATATGCTTGCAGATTTTCTCAACCTCTTTCTGTTGTGAAACTCAGGAGTTGGAGGAACTACATGACTGCGCTCCCCAAGTAAAGCATGAAAAAGTTTAGAAGGGGTGGTATAAATATAAAGTAATCTCATGTCAATCTCCAATTTGTGGGCCACATGAGCTGCAGTAATTGAGTTACCACCCAAGGTGAAGAAATCATCATACTCAGAAACTTCATCAACCAGTAGGGCATCAGAAAATGCCTATTTCAGAATAAGAATTATATCAATAACTTATTAACAAATAATATGCACAAAAACAATTAACTGGAACTAAACAGAAGAATTAAATAAGTTCCTCAGGAGAAAGGGTAATAATAAAATATAGCAACAGTAATCAAGGATAAGTACAGACCCTTTTGATAACTTGCATAAGAGGATCAACTGGACTGCTTTCTGGCTCAATTTCACAAGGCTCCAATGCACAATCCAAGCTAGATAACTTGACATAGTCAATCTTTCCTGACGAAGTCAAAGGTAATGATTTCATGGGGATAAAAAGCCTTGGGACCATAGCTAGTGGAAGCTTCACGATGAGCCAATTTCGAAGTGGTGCGATGATATCTTGGGAAGAATTTAATCCACTGTAACCCTGAGTATATTTCGGAAGTTGATCATTACTCTTCAGCACCACGTATGCCTTAAAATCCAGAGATCCATTATTTTGAAAAGTAACAGCAGCGTCACTGACATCAGGATGTTCCCTCAATGTGGATTCTACCTCCTCCAGTGAGAAACGCTGCCCATAAATTTTAACAATACGGTCCTTTCTCCCAAGGAAAATAAGTTCGCCTGTCTTTATGCGTCGGGCAAAGTCACCTGTTCTGTAGTATGCCAAAATTTCACTGCCTTCAGGGCAGTTACTTGTCATGGGATCAGCTAAATATCCAGTAAACAAGCATGCTCCACTGACAGAGATTTCACCTTCATCTGCTAGTCCATCGTCTGTGACAAGAGAAACCTCACAATTTGAGATAGGAAATCCAATTGGTATACTGTTTAGTTTTTCTCGCTCCAAAATTGTAGGCAAATCTTTGCAATCAAAGAATGCACAGTCACCAGAAACCTGAAATATAAGTGCATCTGCAAACTCTTAAAATTGTTCTTGCAATATGATGGTATGATTCTGTGAACATGCAGTCTAATAAAGGGGCGTACCTAGTGCAGAGAGCTCCCGCTCTGTGCGGGGTCTGGGGAAGGGTGTTAGTGGCAAGCCTTACCCTCGCCTGTGCAATGCGAGGAGACCGCGACTCGAACCCGGGACCTTCCGGTCACAGGCGGTAAGACTCTACCGCTTGCACCAGGCCCGCCCTTCCAACATGTAGTCTAATAAAACTATGAAAATAAATTTCATTAAAACTAGATACTAGTGTTTTTAACGAAAATATTTATTACTGATTGACTTGTCAATCTAGACATGTTCTCATATTGGACTATTAGTAGTCTACTTGGAAAGTGGAAGTATCTTGTCCAAAATCACACAGATTTGTAAATGTAAGGGGCAAAATGGTTAATGGATGTAGTACTAAAACAAAACAAATAACCAAAGCACTCCTGGTCATAAGCCTAAAATTACAAGAAGATACTGCAAAAATGTATTTCATAATTTTCATTAATAGTGATATTAAATAGAATCACCTCTGTTGTTCCATACAGATTTATGATAGTAGCCTCTGGCAGAACTTCATAGACTCTCTTCCACAGTGATACAGACAGAACTTCCCCACTAAATAGTAGGATCTTAAGTGGGTTACAGCCATCAGAAATTTTTTCCGCCAGGGTAGGTAGTATTATCTCCATAAGTGATGGAACCAAAGTCATCCTTGATATCCGGTAAACCTAAGATGAACGAGTAAGGTGTGAATACAATGTCAATACGATGCCTAAAAGAATAAAGAGCTAGTTAGCATTATAATAAACAGTCAGTATTCTTTGTACCAACCTAGTCAACAAACATGCTACAAGAATGTGTATCCTCACTTTCATTTTAGTTTAGAGCATTAAATGGAAATTCCAGATCTCAAAGGCAGCAATATTAGCAAAGTTCCTGTGAAAGACTATCCTTCTATACGCGTCAACGTCACAAAGACATAGGTATGCTAAGCATTGCGTGAGACATTTTGTAACAAACCTAAATGGCGTAGAAAGCAGTATTTTCTTTTTGTTTCCCTAATATTTCCATAAAAATCATATCAGTGTCTCATTAGGATAAAGATCCATGTAACCTTAATCAAGTTGGCCAAGGATGCTGGATTAGCTCTCCACTCACTGGGAGGAGGAATGACAAGTGGTGTGCAAGTCAACACCGCAGAAAGGAACTCCTGTAGATGGTCAACAAAGCTGACCGATGTCTTAAACAACAACACATCATCTGAACACAAAGGATTCCTTCTTTGCATCCACAAAAAGCGATTCAGAAGACCTAGGCATGGTATCAAAAGAAACAAGTCTTCATAAGGTGGCTGCTCAAATCAAACCTAGGCATGCCATGGAAAACAAATAAACCCTATGCTCTGAGACATACAACTTCACCGCTGGTCACAAATATTATGTACTATAAATTTCTGGTATGTATATCTGTACCTGGTCCAACCAGACAATATGCTAGAACTTTTAGTAGAATTGACTGAACAAGACACTGTTACCATAAGACAATCATGACTGAACAATAGTCGACTTATAATTTCAAGGTTTGATTAACACTAAACAATTAGAAACATAGTGGGACCAATTGATTCACGATGTCAAAATCACAACAGTGAGAAAGGGGTAAGGTATCTCAACATCTGCACAAGATTATACACTCTGCATATCTCAAGCAACCAGGCCCCAACAACAAAGGCACAGCTTACCTTTCTCGGTGCCGCAAACACCCTTCGGTTTTCCGGTAGAACCAGAGGTGAACATCACGTAGCAGAACTTCCGGCGCCACTCGCGCTCGCACGGCCAGGCAAGGTCCTCCCCGGCATCCCCACCGTTTTCATCCTGAAACCACCGCCGGATGCCACCGTCCAAGTGCAGCACACGGCAGGCGCTGCTCTCAAACAGCGTGGCTCCTCGCGAACCAACTGATGACACGACGAGGGCAGCGTTGGACGCCGAGACGGCCGACAAGACCCTCTCCTCCGGCCACGACGGGTCCAGCGGGAGGAACGCCGCGCCGCACCTGAGCACCGCGAGGACGGCGGCGACGTACTCCACCGACGGCGAGGCGTACACCCCGACAATCCTCGGCACCACGGCGCCGGCGGCCCGAAACCCTAGCGTTCGTTCCGAATTCGTCCCCGTCAGTCAGACACGAGACTACAACTACAACGGGGGGTGGGGAAGCAAGCGCGAACAGACGAGCGGGCACCGCGGTTGATTGACGCACCTGGGCCATGCTCGCGGTCGTGGCGGGTGTCGGTGGGGGTGCCGCCGAGCGCGGCGGCGATGCGGTGGGAGAGGGAGCCGACGACGGCGAGGAGGTCGCCGCAGGTGAAGCGGCGCTCCTCGCCGTCGCTGCCTGAGGCCGCCGCGTGGATAACGGCGAGGCGGCCGGGTTCCCGGCGAGCGGCGCGCTCGAACACGTGCGAGATGCAGCACGGCCCCGCCGCCGCCGCCGCCTCCGCCATTCCACAGCTGAAGGATTGGGGTTGGGGAACCGGCTTTTGAAACAGCGCAGCTGCACGAGCGGAGCAAGAGCAATTGCGCGCGCCTCTGCTGCTTCTATGCTTCGGAAAATACGCCTTCTACTTTGGTTAACGTACCAGAGACTTCGATCGGTGCTGGAGTAATGAGGCGCGCCACAGCCACACCCTTCCGCTGCTGAGCAGGCTCCATTGTCAAAGCCCAAAGCTGAAGATGCTTTAGCTCCTCTGTTGCAGGCTTGATCAGTGCTCATAAACGGTCCAGATAATTCAACATTGTTTATAGAGGGGAAGAAAACACTATTCGGCTTGTTACTTTGCAGCTGTCAATTTCCTTGGACATTTTGAGAGCATTTTGTTAACTGAACTCTTTCGCTGATTCTGTAATAATATGCAAATCATTCAGACTTTTTCTAAACTCTGTACATTATCTTTGGAGTATAATGCATCGATTAAACAGAGAGGAGCAAAACAGAGGATACACCGAAGAACAGTGCGTTGTAAATTATCATATGCAAGTTGTAGACAGAAATAGATCGAATGGAGATGCGTGCAAAGCAAATTATCCACAACATAGATACAGCTGTTCAGATGCTAGTCAAGGATTACTTAGGAAAAAAGTGTCTGTTATCAGGGTGAAGGAAATCAATAAACATAATAATCACGTCAAAATGCTTTATCTGTATAATAACAAACTTACTAACATGCCTGCAAAGAATGTTATCCAGATTCCAGAACCGACGGCATGAAGGAGTGCTGGAAGAACAGTGTTTGTGTAAGGCAAGATTGATCGACGAACAAAGCACGTCAAAATGCTTTCATTTATTCATATAACGAACTTATAAAGATCAATACAGAAGTTCCAAGAAACATCATTGCTCTCCATTCCAACCGCTTACACGGAACGAACAGAAACAAATTCAACTTCCTGACCCAAATTAAGCACTGAGCGCGAAAAATCAGATTTAACCACAGTACCTCCCCTACAAGTAGTACATTACCGATTACTCAACACTGCGCAGCAATCAATCAAAGATGATGAAAATAGGAAAACCATGTCAACGTGGTGCCATGGCAAGCCATCCGTGGAGCAACTCAGTTCTTGGAGATGTTGCGTGCAATCTTGAACCACTCAGTGTGGAAAGAACCAGGCATGTCAACCCTCTCGTAGGTGTGAGCCCCGAAGTAGTCCCTCTGGGCCTGCACCAGGTTGGCAGGCAGCCTGTCCCTCCGGTAGGAGTCGAAGTAGGCCAGGCTAGCGGACATGCCTGGGGTGCTGACGCCATTGTTGATGGCAAGGCAGACCACCCTACGCCATGCCGCTTGCCTGTCCATGATCTCCTGTGCGAACTCAGGGTCCACGAGGAGGTTGGCGAGGTCGGGGTTCCTATCGTAGGCCTTCTTGATGCGGTCGAGGAAGATGGCACGGATGATGCACCCGCCCTTCCAGATCCTGGCTAGCTCGCCGAGGTTGAGTCCCCACCCTTTCTCTGAGCTCTTGGCCTTGATGATGTTCATGCCCTGCGCGTAGCTGCAGATCTTGGAGGCATAGAGGGCCTGCCTCACGTCTTCGATCAGCTGTGCCTTATCCACTGGTAGGCCAGTGGAGTAATCCCCTTGGAAGATTTTGGAAGCCTCGACCCGCTCGTCCTTCAGTCCGCTCAGGAACCTGGAGTCCAAGGAAGCCTCAATTGTAGGAGCAGCCACCGATAGCTCAGCAGCCTGCTGCACTGTCCATTTCCCTGTTCCTTTCATCCCGGTCTTGTCCAGGACTTTGTCGACCAAATAGCCATCACCCTGCTCGTCCTTGATGCCAAATATGTCAGCCGTGATCTCAATCAAGAAACTAAGGAGCTCACCCTTGTTCCATTCAGAGAACACCTGGTGCAGCTCACTGTTGGTGAGCTTACCGACTGACTTGAGCACATCATATGCCTCAGAAATCAGCTGCATATCACCATACTCAATTCCATTGTGAACCATCTTGACAAAGTTGCCTGATCCACCTTTGCCAATATACGTGACACATGGGCCACTGTCAGGGACCTGAGCAGCCACCTTGAGAACAATGTCTTCAATGTACTTGTAAGCCTCAAATGAGCCTCCAGGCATCAAGGACGGGCCGTTGCGGGCACCCTCCTCTCCTCCAGAGACACCCATTCCAAGGTAGAGGAGGCCACGCTCCTCCATGGCCTTCTCCCTCCTCTCAGTGTTCTCATACCACTCGTTCCCTCCATCAATGATACAGTCGCCCTGCTCCAAGTGAGCTGCGAGTGTCGCAATGGTCTGGTCAACTGGTGCACCGGCCTTGACAAGCATGATGACGACACGCGGCTTCTGAATGGAGTTCACAAAGGACGCGGGGTCATGGAAGCCGTACACAGGAAGGTTTCCTTCTGCCTTGGCACGCTGCACGGTCTCATCAACCTTGGAGGTTGTCCTGTTGTAGACAGAGATGGGGAAGCCTTTCTCCGCAATGTTGAGGGCAAGGTTCTGCCCCATGACCGCAAGGCCAGCAAGACCAATTCTTGTGAGCGCCATCTCCTACACTGAAAAAATGCAGCAGACACATCAGGCATTGCAAAGTTTAGTCTGTGGAGATCTCACTCACTGTTAACACTGGATTTTGGTTGATTCTGGAAGATGACAGGTAGACCCACATGCGGAAAGAAGGGTGTTCGGCAAACAAAATAAGCGGTCGGCTAAATGCTTGTGCGGTCGGTTACTCTAGAAGGCGGTAACTCCATTCGGGAAAATAGAAGATGGCAGGCAAGACCGATCGGAAAGATGAGAGTTGTAATAATAAAGGAATTTATAAGTTTAGGGTAAGGAATCGTAAGTTTCCAAGTTTGTTTAGAAGTTCCTTTGTGAATCGTAGTCCTCTAGGACTCGTGTTTTGTCCAGGGTATAAATATTGACCCTCGACCATTGTAATAAGGGTTCACAACCAAATCAATACAACCGGCCCCGTGCCAACTTTCGAGTCCTTTTGTCGTGTCGTCGTGTTCTTCGAGAGGAGTCATCGATCCGTCGACCTCCGTAAGTTCCGGCAACCTTGTTATCATGTTTAGTATCATGCGGTGGATTTAGACGTGATGCAAGTAGTCTTGTCTGCTTTTCAATGATCGTCGCGGATCTTTGCTTAACAATCAAGAAGTCTTTGCTTATGCTTCGTTTATGAGTAGATACCGTATGCGGCGAGCGCGTTGCTCGATATGCTTAGTGAAAGCAAGATAGTTATCGGCTCTATTAGATATGGCAAAATCTAAATAGATTCATTAAGTTATCCAGTGTTGCATGTTTTAAATATTTTATATATTTGTAACACACTTCTGTCCAATCTAGATCGATATTGTTCGGCCCTCTCTTATGGTTTTACTCGTGCTTCAATGATTATTATTTTCGTATTACCTTCGCGAATAGACAATACACTCGTAATGGCTGAATTATTTCAATCTAGATTGTCACATGTTGCGGGTTCATGCATGATAATTACGTTTAAGCCTTGACGGAACTAGGTGTCGTGCGGCAGATGCAGGTTTTAGATTGGTTTAATCGTGCTTATTTGCACGTTCCTTCCTCATGGATCCCAACTCGGTCGGATTGCTGAGCTTGGTTATGCATTAATTCATAATTAGTTTCACTTGTTCAAACATGTCTTCTCATGTACACGTATTCGGCAATTAGATCTTTACGTGCATTCATCTTACGATTAGCCGAATGGTTTATAAATTTGTTGGCAGACAGCTCTTTATAGCTGTATGTCGTTGTAAGTGGCTTCAGGGCCGTATATGAGGAACTGTCTGGTATTACCTGACATGTTCCGGTTTGACATTTAATTGTTCTATCCCTTGTTAGTTTTCGTGTCAAACTATTCGCACGCTTCCGATAACAAAGTACCCGGAACCCGATTGAAGCTACGCTTTTCTTGTTTGTGTGTGTGAGCATACGGTCGTCACATTTGTGTCAACACACTTTTTGGCACGCCCCGTGGGACAAATCTGTTAGTTTAAGATGGCGTCTGAAATCAACAATGATCATGTTCTGGATGTGAGCATGGCAGAATTGCCAGATAATTACAAGGATTTAGTGCTACAAGCATGCGAGCAATACCAACGGAAATGCTTGATGTCTTTTTCCAAAAACAAGAGCAATAAAGTATTTCAAAAGCAACAATGCCAAGGGTTCTTCTTCCGCATCAAACCGATTACATCAAGAGGAGGATGCTCGAAGATGGCAGCCCCGGTTTATAAAGCTATGGGAGAAACTATGACAAACCATCACACGACTTTTTCTCAATACCTTTCGGCAATCATGATCAATACTTTTGGCCCAATGGTTGATAAATACTTGAAGAAAATGTTGGACCACTCGGTGGGCCGACGCTTTTTAATGTTCCAAAGCATCAAGAGAAGCCTGTTGAAAAGAAGTAAGCGTCGCCTTCAAATATAGGTGGATTGACTCACACCGAAAAGCAATCACATCCCACCTATGGCGGTGACATTTGGTACCACAGGGAGAAGTGCCACCTTCACATATAGAGTTTCTCCAAATCAAACAGATTGCGTAAGAGTATGTATGGAGATGGATATCAAGAATTTCATCGATTACAATTGCTATCAATGCCGTACTAAAATCCGAGGGTATAGAAGTGTTTCAGGATTGCCTTCGAGTGCAAGTACAAGGAAATCGTGATCCGGCATTGATGTTTTGATGCACAGGATGGTCGATATGATGCAAAATCAGTTCGGCTTGAAGCCAAAGAATCAATCTTATTCATACAAGTCTCCTTATCCGAATGGTACAACAGTGTGGCGTTACCTCCAAGGGTGAAGCCTCCAACAGATTTGACCAAGTTTTCGGTCAAGATGATACTAGTACCATAGAGCACGTCGATCGGGTACTTAATGCGACTTGGAGAAGCCGCTTGATGAAGCTTGGAGGATTCGATATTTTCCTTTGTCTCTTACAGACCAGCTTTTCAC